AAAGGCTATGTCATAGAGTTAGGCCTTCTCTCCTTTGAAAAAATGTAGAATGCTACATTTATATTGTGAGGAGCCGAATCCAGACTTTCAGTATGTTTATATCATTTATTCATAACGTCGCATCGTTACTATAAACTTGATACATAACTGTCAACTTTCACACCTGGGAGCAAAACTTCTGTTAAGTTCTCAGGCCTGACAACAATGCTTTCTCATCACTTCTCAACCTAATATCTCGATTTCATCAGTTCAACAACGAAAAAATCAAGAAACTAAGGCAGTCGTCGCCCGTCCTTCGAAAGAGTCAGTTGTCACCCGTACCTTGTCCTAAGTGCCTCAATATTAAAATATCTGTGAATATATCATTTTATTTTACGTTCTTATATCCTACTAAAATATCATCGGAAACCATCATCTAACACCTTTGCGGATACTGTACGTTCCATCAGGCTTACAGATATTTCATCTACAGGATACCTGAACTGACATCCGAACTTTCTCTCTTTCAAAAAAACTAGATCAAGACCAGATCCTCAATAAGGTATTTATCGTCATGCGTTTTTGCTGTAAACTCTCTCTCTCTCTCGGAAAACACGGGTCTTGAGTTACCTCAGTCTAATATCTACACAATAGCTATCATTTCTCCTATACCTAAATCTATCATATTCCACTCAGTCTATGATATATCCTGTATTATCTATTGTTACCAATTAAACAGTTGTTATGTTAACTCGTCTCTGCGTAAGTCACTTCCAGTGCGTTGTCTCTCCCTCCATCCCGAATTCGTTTGCTCACATACGCAATCGTGTGTGCGTGAACATAATGGTTTCTGTGTCTATCTGTAAAGACACAGTGGTGTCAGTCCTGACAAACCTTGTCATTGCGATCTTCGCCAATGCGATGTCGACCCTTCGGTCCCATGGTGCCGAAGTATAGGGGGGGCCCTTTGGCACTGTCACAATATGTTCGTTGAAAACTGAAAACACTAGCAGTAAAAAACTACTAATAATGCTGTACTCAGTGAGTTTTTGTTCCTGCTATTTAACATTTGGCATAAAAATCAAGCTGTATTATATCATAAGCATTAAAAACTTTCTTGAAAGATAGGTAACCACTCTCTTCTCAATTGTAAATTAAATGTGACTCATCAAACAATCCAGCAGAAAAAAAAATCACAACATAAATTTTTAAAAAATGTACAAAAGTTCTAAAAATAGAACTAACATTCTAAATTTGAACAGATGTTTGGCCCTTTTTTTTTTGCTGGATTGCTTGGTGAGTTCAGTTTAATTTATGTAGGCATCCAGTTATTAAAAATACAGTTTAACCTGCTTATAACGTCATCTATGGGACCGGCAATTTTTTGACGTTATAACCGAGTGTCGTTATCTGCGGGGTCATAATTTCAGTTCCATAAAAGTATAAAGTCTGTTTAAGAATCTATTATAAAATTCATTAATTTAATATCGTATGTATAAAAGTGCAAACTAAATATTTAAATCAACTTTATTTACATTATTATGTCTAAATTTACAACGATGTAATTAAAAATTTCAAAAATTATTTTTTATAAGAAATTTTTATTTGTCAAGTTTCGATAATGGCGGCACTTTCGGTTTTAACGCCTGGATGATAATTTTCTCGTTTCTTGCTTATCTATCAATGGACATGAAGTCCAATATATTTCACTTTTAGGTTAAATTAATGTATATCAATTAAAAAAAAACAATAAAAATATTCACTTAAAAAAAGTCAGTTATTTTAGATTGTAAACTACAACACGAGTATGAGAGCTATGCAGACTAACCCACTGTCACGTCGTTTAAAGGGGTGGCGCATCTCACCCCACCGAATCAGGTGGTGACAGTACCACCCACAATCGTTCTAGGAAGGGACTCTGACTGTACACGTAGTATTTTCTTTGATAAATAAAATTTATAATTTAATTTTGTAAATTTAAGAGTGCTTCAAATATGACGTTAAAACAGGGTTTTATGTCGTTACAAGTGGGTTTTTTAACATTATCTAGTATACTAAAATCGTGGGACCGATAAAAATTTGACGTTATATTAGGGTTGTCGTTACATCCGATGTCGTTATAATCGGGTTAAACTGTACATTACTACTAACACCCCAGCATGAAGGAGATTTAATTAAACAAAAAATAAATGTTTTTCTCTGTTTTTAACAATCATCTTCAGGTTTACACCATGTAGAACTAATAGAATGAATGTTTTTAAAAGAATAAAAATTTAAAAGTCTAAATGTCATGAAAAATGTGCATGCCTAATGCATATATTCCATACATTGTTAAAATTTTTGACATTCCAAAGTTATTAAATTAAGCAGATAAATTGTTTTCCTCTTTCAGCTCAATTGTTTTTTGGCAATTCTTGTACATTATTTTAGCTTCCCCCAGAAAGAGAAATTGAGCAATCGTCTGTATGGGCCAAAATCCCCATGAAATAATCTAATCTCCAAAGACCTCTTAAGGTACAAATCTAAGAGCATGCAATATATGCAATATAGCAATATATATATATAGAAAGAGGAGAGAGGGATAAGCAGAGTGTGAGTGAGCAAATGAGTTTAAAACTTTAAATACAAACATTAGGTGAGATATCACAAGTTAAACTTTTTTTGCCATTTCACAACATTTTGTATGTTATAAATACAAAATGCTTTACTTTTTAAGATTTCAGATTTTTCTGATACTTAACTTGACATCTCTTTTAAATCATTTTATTTTTCTTCAAGAAGGTTTCTTCTATTCAAATGTTTCATATCAGTGAATGAAGTAAATAAATAAGTTAACCAGTGAGGTCAATTTAGTTTTATTATATTAGATATTTTATAATCAAAAAATTTCAAAAAGTTAAAGACACATCCAATTCATCCACAGTTGAATATATTTATGATAAAACAAATTAAGAAAAACTAATAAATAAAAATAATTGTAACATTTATAAAATAGATATTTTATATACAAAAATGATATTTTAGCACTAAAAAAAATAAATAAATAAATAAAAACAGCCAAGTTTAGAAAAAAATGACTATATTCAGTTTTCATTTTAGCTCAAATTGTTAATCTTCATAATTATTTAATGTGTTTATTTTTTCATTATCTCTCAGATTTTTTCTTATTTGTTATTCATAATACAGTAAAATCTGTTTATTCTAATTGTGGATATTATTATCAATCATTTAATGCAGCGATTCCCAACCTGAGGTACGCGTACCCCCGGGATATGTGATAGGTTGTTTAGGGGTGCAGAAAAAAGTTAGTTATTATGGCAGAAAAAATATATTATGCTGAGCCTACTATTAATTTAATATTCAAACACTTTCAGCCTATTTTTAATAGGCCATCCTCAGGAAATTACTGTTCTGCAATATTAAATTAATAGTAGGCTCAGCAAGTATTTTGGTGTTTGATTATATTTGTAATATATTATGTATCACAAATTAATAGTATTAAGAAAATATTAGGTAAAAAATGTTCCTTGCAACAATCACAAACTTTATTATACATTTAAAAACGCAAAAATAGAAATAAAAACTTATGCTGCCGATTATATAATGCAACAGATCAATAAATGTTGCTCAGTTGTTCAATAGTAGTGAGGATACCATTTTGCGTGATTAGTGATTATGCTACGGACTTTTGATGGTGGGGTGTGTTACCGTTATTATTATTATCTCTCAACAATATCCCCACGTATTGTTTGAAAAAAGTGTTTTATTGTTAGCAAGGAAAAGGACATAGCTAGTTTCTCCAGATTTTCTCTACCAACGGTATTCAGTATTTTTATTAATTTTTTACTGACAAGACTATGTCTTGTTTTTAAATCGTACTGCTTGCTGTGTTACCATGTTAGAGGTATGAAGGAGTACATGTCAGAAGTTGCAATTTGGCACAAAGTATTAGGTGCCCAAATCATGCGCACATAAAAAAACCAGACTTGTAGGTACTCGGGGGACCAAGAACCAAGTCAAAATAAAATTCAAATTGGCGACCCTCTCTACAAACAGGCAGTGCGAGATTTGCGCATGCGTTGCTCATTGGAAAGTTGGAAATGTCACGGGTGTATGCTACTGAAAAAAGGTTGGGAATTGTTGATTTAATGTTATCATAATAAGCATATCCCAAAACATCCCAGTTAAAACACATTTACAGAACTTCACTTACTGTAATCAGAGTTTCATTTAGAGTTATCATTTTATTAACTCCAGCTAAAAGAGTATTTGTAATTGTGTTTTGTACTATCAGTATCAACAAATGACTGCTATATTACAGTTATTATTATCAGTTATATTTATTAGTCATAACTAATGCTTCAAATGAACAGACTTTTTTGCTTTAATCATTATTTCATATAAAAACATACCTTTGAACACTTTTCCAGCATTATTTTTCTTTAACAACAAACATTTTCAGCTCCCTTGATAAACTTACCTCCTTTTGTCATTAAAAAAAAACATTGCTGGAAAAGTGCTCAGAAGTGTGTTTTTTTTTAATGCAATTTAAAATCTCTTTCAGCTTTGATTCTATTAATCATTACTTATTTTTACCATAATAGTTAAAATCTTTGACATTTCTTACTTTAATTATATGTTAACTGTTGTCAAAGACAGTACTGAAAAAACATCAGACAGACAATACTGAATGAATTACTATTAATTAATAATAATAATAATTAATAAATCTTCAAGTTACACATATTTTAATTGCTTTAATTTGTTCTTTTAATCTCAGAATCAATAAAACAAGAATACCACTAATTGCAGTCTTACTTAACTTCCAATTAATGCTACCAGTCAATTATTATCAATAGCATGGCAAGTTCTAAAGTTATTAAATTAAGCAGATTTTACAGTACTTGATTTAAAATATATATATATATTTTAAATTTTAAATTAAAATTTTAAAATATTAATAACTGACACAGTCAAATTTTAGTTTATTCATTTTAATTTAGAAAAAATTTATATCTCACCTTAGTTGGAACTTTTGCAATAAGAATAAACAAACGACATGCAGAAAATGCCTATAAGAATAAATTGAAGAATTAAAAATTTATTTTTAATAAACAAATAAATATGATTATTTCACAATGAAGTACAGTGATGCATCATACTTTGAATTTAATTCATTCCAGGACATTTGAACTCTGAATTGTTCAAACTCTGAATCAATTTTTCCCATCAAAAATAATGTGAATTAATTCATTCCCAGACCCAGGGTTGGATTTTTTGGGGCCTAGGGCTTAGGGCTAAGTCCAATGGAGCCCCACTATACAAATAATACTATAAATTATATTTATTATTATATTATTAATATTAACTATTTTTTACTATATGATAAGTGCTCATTGTTAATGAAATAATATTAAAAATTTATGATAATATTTCAATTTTTGTGAATCATTGACACTTCAAAGCCTAGGGCTTAAGCCCTATTTGTCCCTATGTAGATCCACCCTTGCCCAGACCCTAAAACAATATGTACAGTACATTGATAGCTTAAAACAGCAAATATACATTATTTAAGGTAAGAATAACACAATTAAATGCCCTGATAATAAATTAAAACACAAAAACAATAAATAAAGCATGTAAATACAATATGATAAAATAAAAATTGCATTAATTGGTTGCACACTGTTGACTTTAGCATTTAGCCACCAGATCCACCACACGTGTACAGCTTTCATGCTTTGAGATAATTTCCTTATTAACCTCAATCATTGATGTTACAATCTTTCTCTTAGAATTTGTTACTTCCACATACTTATTAACCATGGTATCTGATAAATATAGAGTAAGTTGAACAAAAGTTTTTGCATAATTTTATCAGCAGTTCTTATGTAACCTAGATGTGTGATTTAATTATAACAGTTGTGAAATTTAACACGTTATTGCTAATGTGAAATTGTATTCTTTGTTTATAAACTTATTTTTAAGAACAACTTTTTACTTCACATTTTATTTGAATAAAATCAAGTTGTAATGTCTTCAGATAAAAATCATATCAGACATATTATGCTTTATAAGTTCAGAAAGAATAGAATGCCTTACAAACAGTAAAAAAATTGTAATGTGAATGGGGAAGATGCTCCTAAACTTTGAACATATTAAATGTGGTTTAAAAAGTTGAATTTGGAAATTTTTGAACTAAAGGATACAAAACATACAGGGCAACCAAAAGCTGTCAACAAAGAAAAATTGCAGAAAGAGATTGTTGAAAATTAACAAGTAACACACAATATATATAACCAAACACATCAAAAATAAAGAGGAAAAAAAACACTGAAAGCATATGAGCATAACATGAGAATGAGAGACAAGTTGGGTGCACAACATATACAACATTTACATTTTGAGTTTTTTTTTCACTGCACAGGCAGTTCAAAATTTGAAGCATTGCTCAAACTCTGAAGTGTTTGAAATTAGAGCTGTTCAAAGTATGAGGTACCACTGTATATTTAAATTCAATTATTGACAAGACTATGTCTTGTTTATAAAATCGTACTGCCATTTTATGTTATCAGCATAGAGGTATGACGGAGTACATGTCAAGAGTTGATATTTGGCACAGAGTATTAGGTGCCAAAATCATTTGCGCATAAAAAAAAATCCAGACTCGTAGGTAGTCAGGGGACCGAGAATCGAGTCAAAATAAAATACAAAATGGTGACCCTCTTCTACAAACAGGCAAAACCCCACCAAAGTCAGGTAGGGGAGAGTACCACCCACAGTCATTCTAAGAAGTGAACTCTGACCTTAGAACCGAACACATAGTTTCTTCTAGGTTAAATAAAATTTGTAATCTAATTTTGTAAATTTGGGAGTGCTTCAAATATGACATTAAAATGGTTTTATGTTGTTACAAGTGGATTTTTTTTTAATATTATCTAGTACAGTAAAATCGTGGAACCGATAAAAATTTGACGTTATATTAGGGTTGTCGTTACATTTGATGATGTTATAATCAGGTTAAACTGTATAGTGTTTGTGCAAAATAAAAAAATAATTTCAGACGATACAATAACCACAATTATTTTTTTCAAAAATCGAAAATTTTTGTTACGCATGTTGTACACAAAATAAAACAACAATTTGCAAATCAATTAATAATACTGTGGAACATTAAAATTAAATCACACAAATAATTAAATAGTCCTACTTTATAATTTTCTGTGTAACACTAAACTGATAAATTAATGTAAAAATTTTTTAAATTAAAAGAATGTTTTAATTTAAGCACTTTTCATCATCATATGATAGCAAATCTAATACATAATCGAGACGGGTTGATGATAATGATAATGATAATAATAATAAGCGCAGAGCCCAAACGGTTAGGAGATGAAAGTTGAAAGTTGGTACACAGTTAGGGTACGTTAGGAGAACGCACACTAAGAAGGGATTTTTCGAAATTCCTCCCCACGGGGGAGAGGGACAGAGTTAAGGCTTAACACTTCCATCAACAATTGTTACTTAACACTTCCATCAACAATGGAAGTGTTAAGTAACAATGGAAGTGTCAATAATGAAAATGCTACGTAACAATGGAATTGTTAAGAGAAAGCAACGTGCAATACGCAGATGCAGTTTTTTTCGTTTTTGCGGGAAATCGAACATATTTTTAGACCCATCTAAAAATTCTCTGATTAGTCTGGAAACAAGGGGACCCAATTCTTGCATTCTGTGAAAATGGGTAAGGTTTACTGTAACGTAATAATCTTTATCTTAGTTATCGTTACTTTTGCCCGAGCAACGCTGCGCCCACCTGCTAGTACAATTATAAACTTGATGTAATATATTGATTAATAGAAATAAAATTGAAGTTAATGCCATGAATGATCTATTTTAGTACAAGGTGCTAATTACAGGATTTTTTGACATTTAAAAACAAGATTTATTTACAATGATGACAAAGAAATGTACAAAGTTTCTGCAAAATAGTAAACTTTTTTAGAATAGTTGACTGATTCTTTCACTATTATTATTGTTATGTTGTTTTGAAAATATAAACATATTTTTATAATGATTTTTAAAATACATTTTCTTGTGCAATTGAAAAAGACTGCCCATACAGGCAATACTGTACAAGATAGTTGTTTTTCTTGAAAATGCTTCTGTACATTTGAACTTTATACTTGAGTAATTGCTACTTTTTTAATAAAAAAGTTGTTTCTTGTCATCTATTTAATATAGAAGTATCAATATAATAAAACATTTGGAAATAAATGTTTAAATTAAGTTATTATTATAAATCTTTTGTTAGAAACTATTTGTATTGAAAGTACAGTAGTGACTGCACAAGTTTTAATCAATTACGTACCTCAAAGATTGTTACCACTGTGAAATTAACATCAAAAACGATTACATAATTAACTTTAATCCGGTGTTGGGTAGTGTGGATTTGCAAGTTTTAATCTTAAGGCTAAATGCAATTTAGGCTACAGAATAACAAAATAATAAGTTACATATGTTGCCCAAGTATAAATCTTTGGGATAAACTGCTTAATGAGTTAACCAGTCAATATAAAATTTATTCTGCAGATTAGTGAAGAAACAAGATGTCTGACCAGCTCTGTTCTGGTGTAAATACCATTTTTAAAAATTATTAAAATTAAGCTTATCCTAATAGTGGCAAAATATTTTTAAGATTAAAACTTACAACATTATGTAGTGATTCTAAGTTTCAAGAATTGATTTCAATTAAAGATACTACAATTTTACATTAATTGTCAAAGTTAAGTAAATCATACTGAATATGACAATGATTAATCATTTCTCATTATGAAGTACATGTATCTACCATATTTTAATATTATCTACCAAATCCACTAATCCACATATATTTTTGTCTAATCTTGAATTTGTCCCATGTTTTCGCTTACTCATTTTTTGCTCCTCCATTTTAATTGTTGTTTTTGGTAATGTGACTTTGCAGGATTTTTTGCTAACTGACTGACAGCTATTTGTTGAGTACTACTTATTCATCTGATTTAGTGACAAGGTTACATTTATTCTACAGATTTATACGTTAAATGGTAACTCATGCAACTGACCCTAATATAATTAATTAGATATTTTATTTTTTTAATTTTTAAAATGCTTTTTATTCTTAGATACTATATATACATACATACATAAAAGCATGAATTAATTTGATTAAAACTATAAATTGGCCAAAAACAAAATAAACTTACCAAGACACGATTTTCAGTTTTGTCAGGCTTTGTTTCCATTCTCACTAAACACTTTAATGATATTTTTACATTTCTGCCCAAAACATTTCGGATGCTCTCTATAAACAGATAAATAAATTTTTATATTCTGATTTATTTTTATTAATTCAAAATACTAAATGTAAATGTAATGTATGTTTTAAAATTTAACTTTAATCAATCAAACATTATGAGTGAATTCTTATTAGGCTACTATGAAGCTAACTAATTAATCAGATTATAGTCTGATAAGAATCCAGCTATAACATTTGATTAAAAATATTTATTGGATTATTTGTATATCTAATTAAACTTTTATCTCTCTGCTGTAAAATAAATCAAAAAATTAATTCAATGCTCTTATCTAAAATGTAAATTCTTATTTAAGGCAAAAAAATAAGAACTTGAAATTGTTTTCTTAAAAAGATGATTAATTTCTTATACATTTTTAAATCACATATAATCATTAAAAATGTCATCTTAATCATCTTACTACGAGGGCTGTTCGGAAAGTTTGCGGCCTCAAATAGAACAACAAACAAAATAATGTTAAAACTTTTTTTATTTTTCAATATAGGCTCCTTTGTTAGCAATGCATTTATTCCAGTGATGTTCTAGCTTTTTTATGCCATCACAATAGGTCGATTTGTCAAGGTGTGCAAAATACTCGTTCACTTCAGAGATGACTTCGTCATTTGAGTGGAATCTCTTTCCAGCCAAGAATTTTTTTAGGTTTGGAAAAAGGTGGAAGTCACTGGGGGCCAAATCAGGTGAGTACGGTGGATGTGGAACTAATTGGAAGCGAAGTTCGTTTATCTTTTGTTCAGTGATTCTGGCGGAATGTGCAGGTGCATTATCGTGGTGGAACAGAACTTTTTTCTTCTTCAAGTGTGGCCTCTTTTCTTCGATTTCTTTCTTCAGTTTTTCCAAAAGTTCACAGTAATAGACAGCATTAATGGTCTTTCCTCTTTCTAGGTAGTCAATAAAGATGATGCCTTTAGCATCCCAAAAAACCGAGGCCATCACTTTACCCGCTGATGGAACTGTCTTTGCCTTCTTTGGTGGTGGCGAACTGTGGTGTTTCCATTGCTTCGACTGTTCTTTTGTTTCAGGAGTGTAGTAATGGATCCACGTTTCGTCAGTAGTCACAAACCGACGCAAGAAATCCTGTGGGTTTTTCTGGTAGAAGTCCAAACACTCCTTTGACATCAAAGTGCGAACACGTTTTTGCTCGGCGGTCAGCAGATGCGGCACCCACCTTGCTGAGACCTTCGTCATACCCAAATCTTCGGTTAGGATGTGGTGCACTCGGTCGACAGAGATGCCTGTTGTCTCAGCTATCTCACGCGTTTTCAAACGGCGATCTGCTAATACCAAATCGTGAACTTTGTCGATGTTTTCTTCAGTGACAGCAGTTGACGGCCGTCCGCTGCGAGGGTCATCTTCCACACTCTCTCTGCCAGATTTAAAAAGGGCTGTCCATTTTTTCACAGTGGTGTACGAAGGAGCAGACTCTCCCAAAACTTCATCCATGTCAGCTTTGATTTGAGATGGGGTCAACCCTTTTTTCGTCAGGTATTTTATGACCGCACGAGTCTCCGTCTTCTACATTTTTGACAAAGCATGTGCACACTGACTATCTGCTAAGCTGTCGTGACAAAACTTTTTGACAAATCAAGCGGAAATTGGTATCGTATCTCTAGCACAGATGGCTGAATTATTCCCGCCAAAAATTAAATTGATCGCAGCGCCAATTTATTCCAATCATTTAAAAAGATACTGTTTTTTCATATTCTATTTAAAAAAATGAATGTATAGAAATTATAAATTTAAATAACTTGCAAGATAATTTCCAATTATAAATAATATCTATTACTTTATGCCATTGACATTTACAAGGTGTTACAGTAAGTTTTGTTTTATTGACAAATAATAATACAAAAACATTTGAATATAAAATAATTTATTTTTTCTTTTAATTATTATTATAGTTTAATTTTTATTTATCTATTATTAAATGTAAAATAAATTGTTTACATTTAATAGTACATATTTACTGTTTATCTTTATTCTATGTTTAATAGCATTTCTAGTTTTGTCTTTACTTATTTATTACTGATGTTATAACAATAAGAAACAATTCATTTTTATGCTACCAATAATAATTTGCATTTGTTAAGTTATATGGAATCTCTAAAAAATAAGTGCACAAGAAAATATAAAACAAACCTGAAACCAGTTGCAAATATAAAAAAATAACCTTTTCTTCTTTCCAGCAAAATGTTTATTAATGGAACAAATCCTTTTAGTGTAGACCTATAAATCAGGCTGAAAACATTTGTTCAATTAATATAATAAACATTTCGCTGGAAAGAAGAAATGGTTGTTTTTTTTATATTTAAAAATAGGTGTTCTTTATTTTTAAAATTTTGAGATTGTTACTATAAAAAACACAATGAGCAAACTGGATAATATATATAAATATAAATAAAATATGCTCAACATCATATCAATGCAGCAAAACTTATTACTAACATTTTTGACTATTTTAAATAATCTTCATCAAGCCCTAATCAAACAGAACATTACAAGCATCAAAAGAATGCAAATCAAATGTATAAAAGAATTACTTTTACAATTCAAAAATTAGTAATGTTAAATAAATGTGAACAACATTAGAATGTTACAATTTTCAAACAAATATTCATGTAACAGACTATAAAATTTAAAAACAAACAAAATATCTATAAGTGTACACAAACATAAACTACCTAAATAAAAGGAAAAAGAAAAATATGGAAAATATAAAATATAACCCTACTTCACTGTCTGTAACCGGTGTTCTTCTTCTCCAATGCAGAGGAACCCTTCTCTCTAGTTAGGGAATGTCAAAACATTATTTTCAGACATTAGATATGTTCTCTGCACCCTTGAATTGATACAACTAGATCTCCTGGTAGACTTATAGATTTCCAAAAGCTTCATTCCTTTTATTCTAAGTAGTTCTGTACAGGATAACTTAACTTTGCTCCTTGCAAATTAATACACACTGAAGAGGAAAAGCCATAAGCAGCTAGAGCAGTGGTGTTAAATCCTTTTCTAATAGACCAGTCAAGCTCCTTTAATCTTGTACTCAGAGAATATGAAATGACACCTAAATACAAATATCTAAATATCTACAAACCTGATTTTTAGATTAAAGCCATACAATTGCCAGATTACATCATGCTATATAGCCTTATGTAATCTGGCAATCATTTTGCTTTTACATCCATGTATTCTAATTCAGTTCCAAAACAGAGATCTCTAAATTCTTATCCAAATTCCAGGAATTTTGATGAATACTTTGAAATTTTGATGCATAAAATACACATATACATGAGCATCTGCAGAGATGGGAAAATAGGGCACTTGTCTGCCCCTAGAATTATAAAAAATTTCATAAATTATAATTATAATAAACAACTCCACACCTTCTGTACTCTTTCCAACAAAAATTTTTAATAGGATAAATGTTTTTGGCCTCTTTAAGGGGTCTCCTGCATCAGGTTTTCAAACTATTCTAAAATCAAATGTTCTACAGCACATTGCAAATTGGAATGCACTGTAGAACATTTTGCTTCATTTTATTTTCATGTTTACAGTGCTTTATGATGGCATTTTTGAATGTACTTGTTTCTTTTGTTATATCTCATATCCTTTGTATTAATGACTGGAATGCTGGCAGTTTATACATAATAGGATTATAATCAAATTTAGCAAGAGATGGTTCCTAATGCCTGCCTCTAGTATATAACAGGATTCTTAGAACTAAAAGGATTGTAGATGGGGCTGAAGGTATCCTTCCTGTATAAACAAATTACATTCTTATCACAGTTCTTAATTACCTACTTATCTGATTCCTGTTCTTTTTTCAGTCTCAATCCCATGCTTAGTTCAGAAGTCTTGCAAATTTGGTAATCCACTTTTTAACCTTCCATATCATCAGTATATTATCTGCATATCTGCCCATAACCTTAATATCACACAGAATTCTTTTACAATTTTTCTATTTTTTTAACTACCTATTCCACTACTGGTTCCACTGTATAGGTACACTTTTTATCTGTCTGTAGAACTCCAACAGAACATGAGATACACACCTCATGCAATAAATCCACCATATCTAATTCACAAGTATTTTTTGATTACATTGATCCATTTTCACATTTCAAAAATTAAGAGATCATTAAAATGACTCCTTTATCATGTCTAACCTCTATAATTTTGGTTGCAAGTTTCTTAATTCCTTACACATCCATCTTCATTTTAAGAAATCACATTAATTCTTTTTACAGATTATAAATAATTTATATTATTTACAGAAATTTGTACCCATCTGTAAAATTAATTTTTTTAATAGCATCATAAAAGAACTTTATTGAAATTCCTAATATGCAGATATATAATTTCAAATGCTTCTGAATACAACAGTTAACTAAATAAAATAACTAAATTACAAGTTATTTTTACAATGTAATTCAATTTATTTATTAAATAATTTCCATTAAAGATAGATACTGATGTTGTCATAGCATACTGATTAGAATTAAATTATTTACTCTGCACTATGTCAAATTACTTGATAAATAAATTAAATTGTACAGCAAAAATAGCCTGTAATTTTCATCTGTTTATTTGGTTGTTATACATATTGGACAAAAAAGATTCTTTTACATATGCTTTTTAATATTATTGCTCATCTTCAGGTAGATAATTGTCAAAATACAAAATACTCATTGGGATTTTGTGTGTATAGATTTGGACTCCTATAAAAATTTTTACCGTCTCTTTTGACTGGTTCTAAAATTTTATAGTCATCATATATATAAATTATTTCTCAAATGACAGTAACTATATACTTGTATCCCTTTTTTAGTCAAATTATTCAATCATGTTGGCAATTTTGATTTCTGCTGTAAAGCTTATATCTTCTGAATTGCATCTTAATCCTAAATTTTGATTTATCTCCTATTAAAGATTTATTGTTTATATTATATAACAACATTACAACATTAATTTTAACAGTTTATGATGTAAT